TTTATCTGCCTGGAGTGTATGATGGTTTCCCAACCTCTCCCTGTTCCATTTAATATCTTTGGATATTAAATTCTCCGAGCGATGTCTTTTGTTCAATTTTTTTCCCCTTGGAGGAGGTGTTTTGGTTATAAATACCTTCAAGGAGGAAACAGAATTCCTAGAAGATAAAAAGGCAGAGCCATAGGGATTATGTTAAGCTAAATGACAGGAACCAGAGGTCGTTTAAGTAAAGTACTGTAATTTCTTAGAGAAGGAGCAATGGTGAGAGAATTTATTTTTTATTATTTTATTTTGTTGTATCTTTTGAGAGTCTTACTCTGTTTCCCAGGCTAGAGTGCAGTCATGTGATCATAGTTCACTGCAACCTCCAACTCCTGGGTTCAAGGATCCTCCTGTCTCAGTCTCCCAAGTAGCTGGGACTACTAGACTAGCTAATTACTTTACTTAGTAATTAGCTAGCCACCACACCTAGCTAATTTCTTTCTTTATTTTTTTGTAGAAATGGGGTTTTCTTTTTGCTCAGGTTGGTCTTGACTTCCTGGCTCCTGCCTTGGCTGCCCAAAACACTAGCATTATAGGTATCAGCCATCAAACCAAGCCCAGAATGTATGAATAAAAGCTTTCCTAGAGCTTGTTAACTTTAGCTAAAGAAAGATAACTCTAGAAGACAGATATATGCGAGTTAATGCACATTTCTTGATAGAAAATTAAACAGGTTTGTAGAAAGTCAACTAAGGAATATAAGAGGTAAAACAATTCCATATTTAGTACTGCAATTTAACATGTGCCTTGTTTTTTAATCTTACTGAAAGATGCCTCATAGTTTGTGTTAGGGGGTACTGAAGGCAACATATGGGTTAGTGTAGTTGAAATTTATCTTCATTATCATTACCTCTTTGCTTTTTTCTCCCTTCCTTTCAGAGACCAGACCTTTAACAAGCACACATTTTCATTCACACCAAAAATTTTCGTTCAAAGTTAGGTCTCAATTCTCTGACTTTCTTGATTAGATCAGTTCCTTTTATGTCTATTTCTGTGGCATCTTCTATTTTCCCCTTCTGCACATCCACTTCACTTTGTTTGAGTGTCATTCTTCCTAATCTATAAACTCTATGAAGTGGCAAGGACAGTGTATGACTTATTTGATTGCTGTAACACAGTGACTGGTACGTAATATATGTTTATAATTATTTGTTAAATAGACTTGAATATGTTTTCTCTCTTGGGAGAATTTAAAGTCTCCCCAATTTTTTAAAATGTTGCTGTTAAGTGAATTTAAATGGAATACAAATTAGCTTCA